TATTTGCCTTAGTATTCTCAATGGAAAAATTAGGGTAATAACGACACCTACAACCTAGGGCTGTACCTGTTTCTTTCTTTCCTTCATTAAACTTATTTTTCCAAAGGAGCTTGTACTCTAACACATTGTTGCCCTTGGCTGCTGTAATTCTCCACTTAATAAGGAGATTGTATTTGTTGAGGTAGATTCTAGATTCTTTTATTTTCATTATAACAATTGATTTACATCAGTTAAATTTCCTAGGAAATGGTTAGTTCAAGTCAACATCTACTCCTCCATCTATTTGCCATTTTTCCTTTCTAACAGCTACTTTATATAGATTTGATTTGAGTTTTAATTACATGTCACAATTTTTTTCTCATTTTTATTCTTCTAGTTTTGTATAATTTTAGGCTTTTCTTTACCAAATCTGATTGTATACAGATAGCCAATTAGATAAAACCTCTGAAATAACTAACTTGTCTAACTTTGCCATTTTATTTCATTGAGTAATCTCCTGCCTGATCTCCAGGCTTCCTGAATTAGCAGGAGAAGAAGGCTGTATTCTATTATCTTGAACAAGTCTCTTGCCTAGTCTTTAGCCTTCTTTGGGAAGAGGAGAAATGCTATTCTCTCACATAATACTCTTGGGGGTAGGAGATTAACATCATTCCTTACATTCCATATACTTGTTTCCTTGCCTGAATTGCTTAAGGCTCTGAAAGGACTCCACCCTGAGTCCAGACTCATCTAGACATTGAAAATATTATCTAAAATCTTTCCTTAATGTTTGACAAATTTCCCTCTCATCATACTCTCCCGATCTCACTGATTCTGAACCCTGTCATTATTTAGATTTCGTATTTTATCCCAGTACTGTCTGATCCTTTATCTCTACATCCTTCAATGCACCCTGTCATCCCAATGTCCCATCCAAGAGCTACCCAACCCTTTCCACTGTGTTCCCTGAATGCCTGCTCTGCAGGCAACAAACTTGTTTTCATATTAAATCTTTTCCCCACCTCTTTCATCTTCTGGCTTTCACTGAGACCTGGCTTCCTCTTCATGATAATGGTCTACCTGGCTGTTCATTCCAACATTGGCTGCACCTTTACTCATTCCCTCATATGGGTGTTGTAATATTCTCTCCTCCCCATTGCCACTTACAAGTTCTTGTACTCTATCACTCAGCAACCATTCCTCCTTTGAGGATCACTCAACGAATATCTAGCACCCAATCAAAATTCTGGTAGCTGTTGTCATTCTCCTTTCTTTCAGTGCCTGGATTACAATCTTTCTCTAGTCCCCGGCTTTTGCTCTTGTGCTAGGGGACATCAACATACATATGATACTTCATCAGATGCTCTAACCTCACAGTTCCTCAACTTGTTCATTTCCCATGATCTCTACCCCACTTTAGCCACAGACAAAGATGGTCATACCTTTGATTTTGCTGTCACCTACAAATTCAAGAGTGTCACATTCATAAATTCTGAAATTTCCTTATCTGATCACAAATCTATTGGTATCCCACCTCTTATTCTGTCTTCCTTATTCTTTGTCAACAGTGTGACCTCTAATCATTGACCCTTCATTTCTCTTATGGGACATCACCCCAGCCTTAGCTATACTTTCTTCCTTTCCCCATCTTGACCCATTGGTAAAACTCTACACTGTCCTCAAGCCTTGGATCGCTCCCACCATGTGTTATCTTAACTCCTGTGCAGGTGGAGAAAATCATGAAACTATACTGACTAAAAATTTATGATAAAAGGTAATCCTTTTACATCTTCCCAATTAACTCATTATTACACCTACCATAGCAGCTTTTTCAAACTTTTTCATCACCTCTCAAACATCCCTTGGTTCCTCTTCCTCCCACCCTCTTAGCTGAGAATCTTGACATATTACTGATAAAATTGAGGCTCTTCACTGAGAGCTCTCTCTTTTCCTCTCTTCCTCATCTCACATTGCCTTCAACCACTATCTGCTTCACCCCATGTTCCACAAAGAGGTGGCACCTCCTTGCCAAGACATCCCATTTCATTCCATCTTCTCCAAGAAATTGCCTTCTTTGTCATCCCCACTCTCTCACTTATCTTCAGTCTCTCCTTCTCTATTGGCTGCTTCCCCATTGCATACAAACATGCCCGTGTCTCCACCATTCTCAAAAAATCCTCACTTGATCAATCCATTCCCACCATCAGCCTATATCCCTTCTGCCTTTTGAGGCTAAAATCCTTGAGGAGGCTAAAATCCTTGAGAAGGCTATCTGTAATAATAGGTACCTTTACTTCCTCACTTCTCACTTCTTAAACTCTTTACAGTCTCTCCAAAGTTACTAACAGTTGCCAAATCTAATGGGCTTTTCTCAATCCTCATTCTTCTTGACCTCTCTGGAACCTTTTATACTGTCAGTTATCCTTTTCCCCTTGATACTGTCTTTTCTCTAGGTTTTCAGGACACCATTCTCTCCTGATTCTCATCCTACCTATCTCCCCCCTTCTTTTCTTTCCTAGATCTTCATCCAGTAAAGGGCATACTAATCATGGGTGTTCCACAGGACCCTTTTGTCTTCTTCTGTACTATTTCCCTTAGTAATCTCATTAACTCTTATGGATTAAATTATCATGGATTAAATCATCATGCCAATGATTCTCAAATTTGCTCATGTAACACTAACATTTTTGCTGACTTCTAGTCTCTCATCTCCAGCTTGATACCCTGTAGACGTCTGAAACTCAACGTGTCCAAGTCTGAACCCCTTATCTTTTCCCTCAAACCCTCCCCTCTTCCAAACTTCCCTATTACTGTTGAGGGTACCACCATTTTCCTAGTCACCAAGGCTTGCCACTTAGGTGTCATTCTAGACTTCTCACTCTCTTTTTACATATCCCTCTTCCCCCAAGTCCAATCTATTGGCAAAGCCTGCTAAGTTTTTCTTGGTAACATCTTTTATATATGCCTTTTCCTTTTATGTGACATTGCCACCAACCTGGCATAGGCCTTGATCACCTCATACCGGGATTACTGCAATAATACTCTGCTTGTTAGTGCCCCTGCCACAAATATCTCCCCCCTGCAGTCCATCTTCCACCCAGCTGCTGAAGTGATCATCCTAAAGTGAAAATCTGATCATGTCACTCCCTTCTAACTACTCAATATATTCCAGTGATTCCCTATCACTTCCTGGATGTGATAAAATGCCATTTTTTACCTTAAAGCCCTTCATAACATGTTTTCACACCACTGCTTTTCTGGTCATCTTACAACTTACATGCCCCCTTCCCATGAAATCTCCTTTCAGATGTACTTCCCCACGTCCCTCTTCCCCGTACTCAGTGATCCAGTGGTACTGGTCTTCTCACTCTGGGCATTTTCACTGGCTATCCATCAGGCCTCAAGTGCTCTACCTCATCTCTTCTTCCTCATCTCTTCTTCCTCATCTCTACCTCTTGGCTTCAGGTCCTAGCTAAAATCCCACCTCCTTCAGGAAAGTTTTTCTAATCTTTTTCATTTTAGTGCATCCTCCTATCCATTATCTCCAGTTTATCCTGTAAATAACTTGTTTGTTCAGTTATTTGCACATTGTTTTCCTCATTAGATTGTGAACTGCTTGAGGCCTTTTATCTTTTTTTTTGTACTGGAATACAATAACACTTAGCACACCTCTGGGCGCATAGCAGATGAGTAATAAATATTTATTGATTGACCATTAAAATATAATCAGTTTAATTTTTTTCTTATCACAAAAGTGATGAAATTAGAAAGGGTATTAGAAACAAAATAGAAAATGTGATTCTATTTTTATATATAAAGTAGTATTTTAGTTTTTGAGTTAATTTTTGTATTTTGGTACCCAAGTGCATATTGAGTTCTGATTTATGTGTCTCAGAAAATTGAGATTGTAAAGAAGAGGTAGGCAGGGGAATAAGTATTTATTGAATATCTATTATGTATGAGGCACTGCAATAAGCACTTTACAAATATTTTTTTTTATCTTCACCCGGGAGGTTGATACTGGTTATTATCCCCATTTTACAGTTGAAGAAATTGAATCAGACAGAGTTTACATGATTTGCCTAGGGTCACATAGCTAGTAAGTGTCTGAAGCCAGATTGGAACTCATGTCTTCTTGACTCCAGGCCCAACACTCTTATCCATCATGTGACCTAGCTTCTTCTAAAGGGTTCAAAAGATGACTTAAATGATATTTAAGTACTACTTTATACAACAGGTAGTAAATTTATGGAACTTACAAGGTAGCATACATACAAGGTAGTATAATCTAAAAATATAAATATATTAAAGAAGATTTTACATGTTCATGGATGATAGTTTTATAAGGGGTTATTTGAGAATATTAGGATAGTATGCTTTACTACCTTCTTTAACTAGAGTATTGGCAAATTCATCCAGTATGTGGAATGCATTTCTTCCTCACTTCCTATTTTTGACACTTTTCTTCTCCTTTCCAATCTAGATTAGGTATCATCTTCTTATGAAACTTTCCTTGATCTAGCCAACTGAAAGTGCTTTTTTTCTCTTCAAATTTTGCTAGAGGATTTTTATTTTTCCTCTGTTATATCTTACTTTATATTATAATTATTTGTATACATGTTATATCTCCACCTAGTTCCTGCCCTCTAGGGCAGGACACTGTAATTTTTATCTTTTTATCACTAGCACCTACAAGTACCTTGCTTCAATTGTAGACACTTAAAGAATGTTGAGTTGAATTAAACTGATATCATGGAAGACAATCTTGCTGTCCTATGAATTGGACCTTGTTGTCACTGTAAGTATAGATTACTGATGAGGATTATGTATCTTACCAAGTAGAGTAGTTCTGATTTTCTTGTTATGGATTAATTTTAGATGGTAGATTTGTTTTGTGATTTTTAAATTGGTTCTCTTTGACACTGTTATGGAATCAGAGGTTTGAGATAAGTTGACTTATTGTTTTATCTTATTCTTTTTTGGAAGGAATGTATATAAACTAATTTTTTTTTCTTTCACAGTGCACTTCTATTTAATGAAATAAAATATATTACTTCACTAGACGACTTTGAAAATATAGAAAATGCTATGAAGGGAAAAACAAATATTGCCCTCATATATGTGAGAGCAATTGGAACACCAGGTATGAAGTAAAAACTTTTGATTTTGTTGTGTCACTATATTTATGTAATTGTGTAGAAGATAAGCAAAATAGGAGATCATGACCTTAGTCTCAAACTTGAAAATATATTTTGTAGATCTTGTCTGCTTTCTAATTTTGTTACTCTGTTATTCTGTGGCATTTAATTAATATTGACTAATTAGAGTGGACCTGTGTCTTAAGGTGAAATTGGTCTCGAAAATCGGTATGTAAAGAAAAAAAAACATGTGTTGTCAAAATTATACTCTCTGTAGGAAATTTCCAAATTTAACTGCTTTTGATAGGTGAGTAAGGGAAGTTGGCAAACCATACCCTAACTTTAGCCATGCTCATTCAGTGGAATAGTGGGTATAGAATTACCTGCTCTCTATTAGTTATTCTTACTCTACCTCTTCCTCTTTCCCTTCTTTCCTCCCTGGAGTCAAGAAGCCCTAAGTTTAAAACCAGCCTCAGACTTGATTCCCTGGAGTCAAGAAGACAAGTCATTTAGCTTCTCTTTGTCCAAGTTTCCTCAACTGTGAAATAGGGATAATAACACCTACCTCTCAGAGTTGCTGTGATGATCAAATGAGATAATATCTTTAAAGTGCTTAACACATAGTATACATGAAAAAAATGCTTATTTCCTTTCTTTTCTTTCTTTTTTACACAGTGTATATAATTGAAGTCAGTTATGTTAATTATGTTATGTGACTCCACTGTGTAAATTTTATCCTAGAAATTGGCATTTGCCATTCTATGGGACCTGGGTATTCAACTGCACAATAATGTACATCCCTGTGGCAGTGGGCACTGGGATAGGTCCTAATGGCAACAAGAAATGGAGTGGTGGTAGCAGGACCTAGCTGAATTGGAACAGGGAGTGACATGGCCCCCAGTGTAATGGGCACTGGCATGGGCAATGACAGGTCCATTATTGTCCTTTGCTTGTGATAATCTGGAACTGATGACTTTCCATATTACTGCCAGTACTGTACTCCCCAGAGAAGGCTTGGAGGACTAGAGATGGTGATATTTGTTGGAAATAGCTTGATTTCCTGGCTATTGTGGTGAGAGGAAACCCCAAAGTCCATTAGGAAGAATTGGGTTGATCCCTCATCCAAGTGCTCTAAAGGGGTAGTAATTTGATTTTTCACTTTCCTACGCCCAAACATACACACATATGGTTTCCACTGAGGTACAGCTATTTTAGCTGGTGAGCCAGAGCATATTGAGTGGATAGTAGTACAGGGAAATTCTTGGTATTAAGCACAGCAGTAGGAAAGGCTACAAGCAAGAAGGTGACTGCTCAGGAATTTATGTTGAAATACTGATATTCCTAGTGTTGCTCATTTGTGGCTTGTTCAATTTCTTTTTCTAAGATTGGGTTATTTAAGTATTCTGTTTCTTCTTCTGTTAATTTTGATAACTTACACTTAGAAATAGTTATCCATTTCACTTAGATTATCAGCATGTTATAGGGAAAAACAGCTCCCAATAATTGCCTTGATTTCATCTTCATTGGTGGTGCATTTACCCTTTTCATTTTTGATACTGGTAATGTAGTTTTCCTCTTTCTTTTTTAAAAATCAAATTAACCAATGATTGATTTGTTTTATTTTATTTTTCATAAAACCAGCTCCTAGTTTTATTTGTCTGCGATCATGATTGCTACCTCTTCCTTTTTTATTTCACCTGAAGCAAAATAGATTCTTTTTCAGCCCCTTATTTTAATTTTGTGCTTGTCTTCTTTTTTCAATTGTGTTTCTTGTAAGCCACATATTATTGAACTTTACTTTCCAGTCTGTTCTGCTCTCCACTTCCATTTTATGGGTGAGTATGTATTTCCCTTTATCCTATTTTCTCCTCTCTCTCTCTCTCTCTCTCTCCCTGTCCCTCCCTTCCTCCCTTCCTCCCTTCCTGCCTCCCTCTCTCTCTCCTCTGCCTCTAAAGTTTGTTTTACTTTTGACCCTACCTCCCTTAATCCACTCTCCTTTTCAATTCCCCCCATGCTCAATATAGCTTTTTCCACTCATACTTCCCTGGTGGGTTAAATAGATATGTATACCCAACTGACTTTTATATATATTCTTCTCTTTTTGAACCACTTCAGATTAGAGTGAGGCTTAAATGTTGCCCATCCCCCAACTCCCACTTTCCCCTCTAGTATAAAAGCTCTTTTTTGCATTCCTCTTTTATGTGAGATAAATTTCCCCCTTTTCCCAGTGCATCCCTCTTTCTCACCTCTTAATTTTTTTGAGATCATAACATCATAATTGACTCACACCCGTGCCCTCTGTTTATGTAGACTCCCTTCTAACTGCCCTAGTGATGATAAAGTTCTTAAGAGTTACGTGTATCATCTTCCCATATAGGAATGTAAACAATTTAACCTTATTAAATCTCTTATGATTTTTCTTTCACATTTACCTTTTTTATGCTTCTTTTTAGTTTTTGTTTGATTGTCAAATATTTTATTCAGCTCTGTTCTTTTCATCAGGAATACTTGAAGGTCTTCTATTTCATTAATTCATTATTTCATTTAATTTCTATTTCTTTTTACCCTGAAAAATTATACTCAGTTTTACTAGGAATTCTTTTTTGGGGTTTGTGTCCAATTTTCATTTTTCTTTGCTTTGTTTACAGCTGTTTTTACATTGTTTTCTTCTAAGTTTGCGTCTTGATCTTCCCTGTCACCATAGTAGCTTTTTACACTCAGGTTTTTTTGTTGTTGTTGTTGTTTGCTCATTTCCCTAACGCACTTCTTGATGTTGAACTTTTTGTTGAAGTTATGATTTTCTTATCTAAAGGGTAAGGGGTGGTTCACTGTTCAAAGGTTCAGGTTCTTTTGCCTGGCTGTTTTCAGAGCTAGTTCTGGGATTCTCCAAGTTTTCAGTGCTTCCAAGGTGGTATGATCCAGGGAGATGTGTGGCCACTGCTCTCCTGGTTTGTATTCTCTTTCTTATCTAGGAAGGGCCTCTGTTCCTTTACAACCATAAGCCTTCACACTTCTGTCCACCCTGGACTTGCCACCAGGGTTCCCTGCCCCATTTTGACTGGAAGTGCTTTTCTCTTCTTTGGAACTACTACCAGAACTGGGTATGGCCAGTGGAGTTGACAAACAGTGCCTAGCCCTGTTTCAAGTACTAGCATAGGGTCCATTATATTCTTTTTCTGACCATTTGTACAATCCCCTTATTGTCTGTGGACTGAGAGTTCCCAAATTAGCCGCTATTGTTGCTGCTGTTGCAGCTGCCTCTAAGACTTACAGTTGGTGTTGCGGCTGTGTACATTCCTGCTAATTCCTACTGTATTTTCACAGACCTCTCTTTCAACCTCCTGAGTCGTCTTTGGCTTAAAAAAAAATCTTACCCTGACTTTTCGTTGACTCTGTTGCTTGCGAATTCAATTTAAGTCATTATTTTAACTTCGTTTGGAAAGGAATGTTTGGAGAGCTTTCACTACTCTGCCATCTTGGCTGTACCCAACATTTAACCTTTAATAGCATCAAACTGCAAGAACAGTTCAAGATACCCTGTACTTTATCCTAGCAGCAATTGGGAGTCCCTGGGGGTTGTGAGTAGGGTAGTGACATGGTGAGGATGAGCTTAAGGAAAACTAACTGGTATAGCATCTGCCTGAATAGAGGGAACAGAGGCACAGTTCAGGGGCAACCCAGAAGCATTTATTGGTGAGTACTTTTATGCATGCATGGGCTAGAGTCCAGTTCAGAAGTTTTTTTCCAGAAATTTTTGTCAAAAAGTGAGTCTTTCCTCCAATAACTGGAATTTTTGGGTTTATCAAACACTCTTTTCCTATGCTTGTTTTCTTCCCTTGTATACCTATTCTGTTCCACCTATCAACCTCTCTTTTTAAATCAAGACTAAATAGTTTTAATTATTAAGGCTTTGTAGTGCAGTTTGAAATCTGGCACTTAGAGACCTCTCACTTTCCAAAACTGATATTCTTGGAATTTTTGACCTTTTATTCATCTCACGAATTTTGGTATATTTTTTGGTATCATTTTGGTATTATTTTTTCTGTCTATAAAAACTATTCTTTTGGGTATTTTGGTGTCGTATTGATTAAGTAAATTAATTTAGGCAGTATCACCATTTTTATTATACTGGCTCGATCTACCTATGAACAAGTGGTATTTTTTGAATTATTTAAGTCTGTCTTTATGTCTTCAGAGAATGTTTTGTAATTTAATTTATGTAGTTTCTGGGTAAAGTTTGAAAGTACATAGATGTTTTACAAGTTTTTGAATTATTTTAAATAAAATTCCTTTTTCAAGGCAGACTAGGGGAAGGGGTATTCAGAATGCATGCCATCTTGGGGTGGGGGGAGGGGCGAGATGGGGTGAAAATTTGGAATTCAAAATCTTGTGGAAGTAAATGTTGAAAACAAAAAAATAAATAAATAAAAATAAAATTCCTTTTTCTAGCTCTTCCTTCTGTTCTTTGGTTATGTATTTTTGTGGTGTAGTTGTTCAGTTGCATCTGACTCTTTGGACCATATGAACCGTAGCACTGTAGGCTTTTCTATCTTTCACTATCTTTTCAAGTCTGTCCAACTTCATGTTTGTTGTTTCCATGATAATATCTATCTATGTCATCGTTTTCTGTCCCCTTTTCCTTTTGTCTTCAATCTGTCCCAACATTAGGGTCGTTTCCAGTGAGTCCCATCTTCTCATTATGTGGCCAATATATTTAAGCAAACTCAGCTACAGTATTTGACTTTACAGTGAATAGCCTGAATTAATTTCTTTGAATATTGACTGATTTGACCTTCTTGAATGTGGATAACTTATGTGAATTTATCTTATGTTCTTCAACCTTGTTTTATTTATTATTTCAATTAATTTTTAGTTGACTCTATAAGATTCCCCAAGTCCATGATCATATGCTCTAAAAAAATAGAAATAAATTGTTTTCTCTTTGTTGGTGCTTATTCCCTCAGTTTCTTCTCCACCTCTTCCATCATCATCATCATCTTCTTCA